GGTACCTCCAATTTAAAATGCCAATTACACAGCCATTCTCGAATTGGTTTAGAGATTGGTTTTTAGTTTGGGGATCAAGATCTCAAATACTACCAAAAAAATTGTAAATATCACAAGCAACCTTCACACCAAAAGAATTTACAGAGAGAGAGAGAAGAGAGAAGGACTGAAGAAACTCGATCAGAGATTTTGATGAGACAATGCGATGTTTTGAATGTTCAACCTTCTTCCTTTTATAGAGGGAGGACGCCAGGAGCTTATTAATTATCTTCTATTTTCCTTTACAGGTGGACAGCTTGATTATGATGGACGGCTGAGTGGAGATTCGCCTTGTCTGACAGCTGGTGGATAGGTTCGTCGGTGGAGAAGGACAGATTTGGACTGTAGTGTCGACGGAGAGGACTTCTTTGGACTGACGTGTCGGTGGAGAGGGATAGGTGGAGATGATGTCGGGACAGGTGGAACTTTTACTGTTGCAAAGGTGGAGATGACTTCGGGACAGGTGGCAAGTCCGGAGCTTTTACTGTAGCAATTTGTACTATTGTGTCGGCAAATTTCTTCTAGAAGCTCGGCCGGGTCATCATTCGGGCTTAATAGAGAGTGGGCTTCTATGAGAATCCATGAGCAGTCTGCAATTCTTCACTTTCCATTTCATTCGTACCTTGTGAGGACATATTTTCTGCTTCAACTTCTTCTTCGAATATTTGTAATAATTGCTTTTCCAGCTCCTCTTTCGTTGCTTTGGGATGTTGTTTCCTCATTTTTCTTATATACTCTGAAAAATTGTTTGGGTCAAATTTATTTGGGTCATTGGCGTGAAATATGCTTGGCTGGGAAATTGGAGGTATTCTCCTCAGCTTTATTTTTTCTGGTTCCAAGTTCTTGTTATCAAAGACATCCCACCATTTTGATAGATATTCTCTTACCTAATTTGGGAACATATTCAAAATTATTAACCATATTTTCTGAAATCCCATATTCCCATTTCAATATCCACGGAATTTGGTATATTGCCATAAAGTATAGGTGATGATCAATATTTGGGTACCTTACATTATATTCTACAAACTTGGCTTGTGATATTTGCAATTTTTCTGGTAATATTTGGGATCCTGATTCCCAAACTAAAAACCAATCTCTAAACCAATTCAGGAATGGCTTTATAATAGGCATTTTAAATTGGAGGTACCAAGTATGAGGGTTATTCATATTCTATACGGCAAATATTTTTTGCCAGGTATCTATATACTCCGAATATCTACAATATTTATTTTGAAACTCTTGTGCCTAAAGTTTTTTTGTTCTAACATGATCATGTCCCCAATCATCATATGATAATATTTGTCTTATTTGTAATTTTGAGTATGCCACCATGTTAGTATTTTTTTTTATAGAAATGAACTAGAGAGATTGAACCTGTTTCTAATAGAACAGCTTCATACCACTCTATTGTTTTATTTCCATTAGAGGGGTTCAGATGCTTTAGTAGGTAAAGGTTTGCTACTTTATTTGGATCAACAGTAGCATATTCATCATCAATGACAATATCTATTAAGAATGCAGCTTCTTCAAATTGGGATTTTTCAGAGGCTGATATTTTATTTGGGATAGGAGACTGAACAAATATTGGGTTCTGGCTAGAATACTCAGAATAGTCTATGGGTCTATTTGGGGAATAAAGTATTGGTGAAGAAGGAGGATAACTTATTAGTTGGGAACCAGCTGGTGATGCTGGTACTATATCTATTTTAGCTTTTCCTTTGTCTTGGCTAGTCATTATATTTGTATTTGTATTTGGTATAGAGTATTCTTCGTCGGAATTAACCTGGTCTCTGCCCCTCCTGCAAAATTCACGGGTCAAGAAATCGGGAAGGTGGTTAGTAGAACTGCGAAGATGTTCAATAGTAAAATCAAAGCTAGAAAGAATAGCTTGCCAACGTGCAAAAATTTGTTTCAAGACGAGGTTTTTGGCATCATTAACTAAAACATCACGAGCTGCTTTATAATCTGTTCATATTAGAAATGTGGTATTAATTATATCACTTTGGATTTTTATTACACAATGGACTATTGCAAGTATTTCTTTCTTCTCCCTAAAATAACTATATGTTGTAAAATGCACTATTTTTTAGACTTAAAATCTTTTTCATGGTCATACATCTCGATGTCGAGATAATCAATCAAAGTCAACATTAAAACTACCTTTTCCGTTGGATTTTTTAGGTGCATCCATAGTTCTACATTTTAAGGTTGCATCCTTATATAAACTCTTTCCTAATTTAAATCCTAACAAAAACTCAAAGGAGAATAGAGAGTAATGAAGGGGAAAGCCTCTACAAATCTACAATATTAGGGAAAGAGCTGGTACATGGAATTAATTATATATTGTAGAAGTAAAGTACACCTTAAAAATCTAATTAAAAATGAATGTTAGAAAATCCTCTAATTGATAATTTAGACCTCGAGACATACGGATATAAAAGGAAAATGATTCAAGTTCAAGAAATAGTAAAGCTTGTAACATGTTATCTAGACTATCCATATTTTCAAAATTTTCTGCATTAATTTGTAAAATTTAAATTTTATTATTAGGGATGGAAATAGATATTTAATCCATATATGGAACTTCATATTTTGGTAGGGCCTAGAGGTGCACCTTACTTTTATGTTTAAAGTTGGCATCTTATACAAATTTCATGAATGGAAATAGATGTTCAAGCCATTACTGGAACTTTATCGTTTGGTAGAGCCTTGAGGTGCACCTTACTTTTTATGTTTAAATTTCGTACCTTGTACAAACCTCAGCCATATATAATCGGGAATTTAAAATAACATCAGAGAATTTATTTGTAAATTCTATAGCTCTATCAATTGGTACTATTGTTCTTTGATATATGTTATGTCCTAAAAATCTTATTTTAGTCTGGCATAAACTTATCTTTTTAGCAGATACAACTAATCTAGCATTTTTAACTGCATTGAGAAAAGCGTTAATATGCTTAAAGTGTTGTTGTATATTTTCTGAGAAGATTAATACATCATCTATATATACTATCATAAATTTAATGTATGGGTTAAAAACATCATTCATTATTATTTGGAATTTAGAAGGGGCATTTTTCAATCCGAATGGCATGACATTCCATTCATATTGCCCAAAAGGGACATTGAATGTTGTTTTATATCTATCATTTTCATTGATTTGTATTTGCCAATATCTTGATTTTAGATCAAATTTTGAATATATGCAAGCATTTAATAATCTATCTAATAAATCTTTTTTATTGGGTATAGGATATTTTATCTATTTTAATGCTTTATTAAGAGGTTTATAATTTATTACTAACTTTGGAACTCCTCTTTACTTTTCGGCATTATTTTCTACATAGAAAGCTGCACAACTCCAAGGTGAAGAGTCTTTTTC